TACTATAGAATAGAATAGAATAGAATAGAATAGAATAGAATAGAATTCTTTATTGGCCAAGTGTGATTGAACACACAAGGAATTTGTCTTTAGTGCATATGCTTTCAGTGTACATAAAAAGACATGAAAAGATACATTTGACAAGAATCTTAAGGCACAATACTTAATGATAGATATAGAGTACAAATAAGCAATCAGGAAACAATCAGTATCAATATAAATTGTAGGGATATTCGGAAGATACACTGGTATGATGTAATATTTTTGAAAAAAGATATTGAAACAATATTCTGAAGAAAAATAAGAACAAACTATTTCTGCATTGTTGCAAAGATAACTCTATGAGTATGGCTATGTGATTACTTGAAATCAGCCTTGAATTAAATTTAACTTTCCATTTGGCCAGGAAACTGTAAACATGTAGTGTTTACTGGTAGACTTTCACTTCTCTTCCTTGACTGTTTCTTGTCTTGTTCAGTCACTAAGTTGTGTCTTACTCTTCATTAGCCCATGGACCATAGTATGCCAGGTCTCTCTATCCTCCACTATCTCCCACAGTTTGCCCAAATTCATGTTCATTGCATCGATAACACTGTGTCTAACCATCTCATCCTCTGCCATCCCCTTCTCTTTTTGCCTGCAATCTTTCCCAGTGTCAGGATCTTCCCCTGATTCCTTTCGTCAGTCAGCTTCTAGTGTTTGACATCTACCTACCTGATGTATCTGCCAGTGGAGTACTTGAAAAAAGGAATGGTGTTACCATCTTCTCATTGTTGGGACTTGAAGAATAATGGGCAAAACTCTTCTCAATTTCACCTGGTCTAGAAAAGAGGGAGGAAGGCAGAGATTGGCTGGTTGATTGTGGCTTCCATCAATGAATTTATTTTTAAAAGCCCAGCCTTGTTGTGTTGTGCAATAAACATAGATAGGAAAGAAGCCCTTGGGCACCAACTTGCACTGAGATGCTTCCTATAGCATCTAATGTGTAACACTTTTAATAAGCAGTTTCCTAAGTTACCAACTTCAGTCATATCCACAGCCCATTCAGCATTTCCTGGTAATGATAAGATCAAATTCAATCATTTCTGGCATATTTTTGCCAATATTTCATAACTACAAGCAACAGTTTAAGCTGTCTGCCCATGACAGTTTATGCAAAGTTATTCTGAGGGTTGGGTCTGCCAAGGTTAGAACCAAGCATCCTGAAACCAGAAAGATCTGTCACACTAATAAGAGATAGGTGATGGATTAATTGCTCTTCTGGCCCCAAAGCAGGAACATCTTTGTGGATGAAAGAAAGAGAGGCAAGAATAAACCTTGCTTTTCCTATAAATATAGCTTTTATTTTATACTTAGTAATTGTTAGATTAATTATTACATTGTTTATTGAGAGTTCCAATAGAGTTTACTATTTGTCCTTGAACCTCCATTTGCAAGTCTAATTTCACTACTGTTTGTGTGAAGCCTGAGTGTAGGAGTTATAACCTAGACACTAATTTTAAGTTAATGCAATCTTGCATTCCTCTCATCAGTAAGGAAGTAAATGTAATATACTAAATACACTCAAAATATAGAATACAAATGTACAATACAAGATTTATTTTTGCACCAATGAAATAATTAAATAGACAAAAAAATCAAGTAGAACTAAAACTTGTTAGCACAAAGTAATTGGACAGACTAATAATTTTAAAAAAATGCTGGTTCTCATTGGCCATTTAGTTGTTTTTTTTCAGAGATAACATTTCTGCATTTCATGTGCATATTCACCTGTAATTTGCCCAGAGGAATTAATTCATAGAAATGCATAATATAAAAGCAAGGGAAAAAAATGAGGAATATTAAAATTTAACCATTCTTAAAACAGATCTGACGAAATCAGTGAAACCGAAGTTCACTAATATCAATGACTCAGTTCATTTGACATTCTTGGATGGGAATTAAACAAGTGTGGCATACAAACCCACACAATGGGTTCCCTTGTGATTAAGATGGATCTTCATGATAGATTGACACATGATTCATCATAGGTTTATTCCCGTCATCTTCCAGGAGAGAAGATTAACATGAAATTAGCTGTTCCTTCTAATCTCTGAACACAAGGTCAGGAGACCAGAAAGTCTGCTAAGTCCAGCATCTTTTCTATTCTCATTTTCCCACACACACTTACCAGGAGTCCCCAACTCCAGTATTGATCCATGGCCTGTTAGGAACTGGGCTACCCAGTTGAAGGTGAGAAGCAGGTGAGCAAGAGAAGCTTTATGTCTTCCTAGAGCAAGCAAAACACCTCAGCTCCACCTCAGATCATCAGGCATTAGATTCTCATGGGAGCATGAAGTCTACTGTAAACTCTGCATGTGAAGGATCTAGGTTGCACTCCTGCTCTCGCAGTCCATGGAAAAATTGTCTTCCACAAAACCAGTCCCTGGTGCCAAAAGGTTTGGTGACTGTTGCCCCACACTTCTTCATAGATATTAAGAGAGGGGGAATAATTGGAACAACATCTTTCTCCCACCCCCTTCTTTAATTCCAATTGGTTTGAATAGCAGCTGATCAACCACCTCAACCATCGCTAAGATACTACCTAACCATTGTGACTACATGGCAAATCAGGACTGACTTTGTTTTGATATGTCATTGAATATTAAATTAATGAATAAATAATTGACATGCTCATGCTCTTCTGTAAATATGAGTAAATACAAGTCAAGATGC